TCCTCCTCCTCCTCCTCCTCCTCCTCCTCTTCTCCTCTTCTTCTCTTCTTCCTCCTCCTCAGGGTGTCGCTATGCAGTACAGGCTGGCCTTGACTTCACTTTGTAGCCCAGGCTGTGGGCTACTCCATAGAATTCTGATGTCCCTAGTTGGAGCTGAGGCCCAAGATGAGAAGCCATGCTCTAGACCTCATTTTTCTAACCAGCAAGAGCACGTACACAACTTAACCAGTAGGCAGGGCTAATTATAACAAGACTGTGAAACTTCTAGCTAGTGAATTTGCTACTATGAAGTTAGTATGCAAATCTTATTTCCCAGGACAAAGGTAATCCATTCCTTTAACTGAACAACTGCAATCTTATGATAAATATTTTGTCCATGAACTTTCCTACAAAAAATGTGATCTTGAAGTCACAAGCTGCAGGTCAAAAGATAAATTCATAAAGCCTTTGACTAGTCTCATCCTTCTTGGCAAAATACACTGGCCAGAAACTCGCCAATGAAGACAATTGCCATGGTGATGGGTATCCATGCAGCCGTTTGAACAAGACTGCACTTGGCTGGTGGCCTCTATCATCTTTCTAGTGACTGGCAAAGAGCTTCCAGACTCTGCTTCTTTTACACCTGAAGGCACTGGCTAGCTAGCATGCTTGATGTTCAGGAGACCCGTGTGGAGAGTCTTTAGACATCTCCAAGTTTCTAAGTAGTACTGGGATTCGCAGCTGTATGTGTCAGCTCATTAGGGTGCCCAGATACTGGGTTTACCAGCAATGGCTTGGGCTTGTCCCAGGAACACAGCAACTACATTAAAAGCTGATGGTAGGCTGGGGAGATAGCTCAGTAGCTTAAGCACCTGCCTTGCAAGCATAAGGTCCAGAGTTCAATCCTCAGTAGCCCTCTCCCCCCAAAAAAGCTGATGGTAGGGGCAGTGAGATAGCTCAGCAGACTAAACACCTGCTTAGGCAAGCTCAGAGTCCAGGTTTTGATCCCTGGTACCATGTGCTGCACTGGCCCTGCCCCCAAGCGTGCTGTAATTCCAGTGCTGGGGAGGCTGAAAACAGTAGGATCACTACAAGTTTGAGCTGCGTAGTGAGACCCTGCACACAATTAAAAAAATAAATGAAATAAA